AACCTAGTCCTTAGTGAATAATTTGATTCATTTATCAAAGTATACCTGGTAAGTTCTAAAATTTTATACACCCACTTAATTATTTCATGTGTTTTTTAATATTTCATTTAGTTTTTATTCTTATAATTTTGGGTCCATCAATTCATTGACTACCATCCAGTCTCTTGTATCTCCTACCCCCTTTAACCTTAATTAAAAACACTCCTTCATCACTCTTTCTCAAGTTCTCATTATCTCTCAAGGTGCTGATCAAATGCTTCCAACCATGTTCCTCCCAAAATTCTCCCTGCTAGCATTAAACACAGAGCAGCCTTCTCTTTCTCTAGTGTAGCTCAAATAGGCTGAAAATACCTTTCATGTTCATCCAAATTAGGTTAAAGTCTCATTCTTTTCTATACAACAAGATTTCTAAGACTGAAGCTCCTTCTAAATCTTCTCTTCACAGGGCAAATTTCTACAATGGTTCCCACTAATAATCACAGATGCAGTTTAGAGGCATTTTCATCATCAAAACTTCCCTATCTGGACACTGAGTTTTCGATCATCTCTCTTAAAGGTGCGGTGTGTGGAACTGAGCAATGCTGTAGGGCAGTGTTTTCGCAAGTTATGTACAATGTTCATCCTTCCTCAAATCTGGGCATTCACAGTGTGCACTGGCAAAGTAACAGCTCAAAAAGGTTTCCAGTTAAAATAAAACTGTTAGTTTTAACTGGGTGGGTGCAATTCTTTAACCACTGTGGGGAAGGAGGTGAAATGATGAAACAAGATTGAACACAGGAGAGGGAATATCAGAGAATAAGTAGTTTCCACTCAATTTTTCTATAAACCTATAACTACACTAAAAAAGAGAGACTCTTAATTTCTGAAACTTTGTCAGTATAATCCACCTTACCAGTGATGGCGAACATTGCAGCATTTTCAAGATACCAAAGGCCCACTGCAGCATGTGTGTCATAGGATTGCCACGACTGAACTCTTAATAGCTACAATAAAAGAAGAAGGAAACCGTTTGACAAATTTCAAAATCAATTTCAGAGAAAAGCTTTCAGCAACCTAGGAATAATAAGGAGCTCTCAAAGAGTAACAGCGTCTGTTATGCTCTACATCTAAAATGTCCTCTGGAGTTCTGGGGCCAGAGGAAGACTGCATCACGGGGGACTCATCAGCAGATGCAGCCACTCCTAAGCGCAGAGCGGGATGTGCTATTGCAATCCCGGGTCTGGTCAGAAGTGCAGGATAACCGCGCACTGACGTGGAAGAGGATACTCACACCTGGCCCTTTCCTTCTCCTCTGTTTCCAGGCTGCCAAAGGATGAGCTATCTTCCTCCCAGGCCATTCCACCACACCACTTCTGCCCTGAAACTCACTGAGCATCCATGGAATCTACTGAAACTTTGAGCCAAGACAAAGCTCTCCTCCACTCACCAGATGACTGCACGGAGACGATATGGTGTTTACAGACAATGCAGCGCTACTCTATTATGAGAAAGGAGAAACGAATCATTTCTCGGAAAATGGATGCACCTGGAGACCATAATGTTAAGTGAAAGAAACACACAAGCTGAGGTATCAGATGGTTTCTCTCTATGAGAAACCTAAAATATAAATAAATAAAAGAGCAAAGTTCAAAGGGAGATTATAAGACACAGGGATACAGATGCTTTGCAAAAGTGAAAGGGAAGCCTGGAATATAGGTCAGTGGCACAAGTGTCTGCCTACCGAGAGAGAAGTCCTAAGGTTGATTCTCAGGACCCAAAAATAAAAAATAAAAAAGGGAAGGGGATGAAGACCCGAAGGCTGGGGGGGAGGGAAGGGGAAGAAAAACAGAAATAAGATGTGTTATGTCCAAGCACCAACGCCCCCTGATAAATGTAATCCTGATAAACTGCAAAGAAGCACTAATAAATTAAAAAGTTACAAGGAAAACAAGATAAACCTTTCCTCTTTTAAACATTGGGTATTGTGTCCTCTCGTGAGCAAGTAACCAAGACAGCTTTCTTCCTAAGACAGGAAACAGGCCGAACACACTTACTATCACCATTCTCAATAGTTAATATTTACTGGAGATCCGATTCAGGTCTACCAGGAAAGAGAAGAAAATAAAAGTGATACAAGTTGTAAAGGAGAAAACCCAAACTGGCTTCTGCTTTCTCTGGAAGAGCTCCCGTCTGTCTTTGCTTTCACCTTGTATCGTCTCCTAGTTTCAGCACAGACCCTCCAGCTTCAAGCACTGACCCTTCAGCCTTCTGGTACAGACACTTGGACTCCAGATATGGACTAACACGGGACACCACACGGAGCTCCAGGCCTCTCTCAGTGCACACACAGTCCTTCCGCACTCTTCAACACCCGCCTGTGGGCTGTCGTTCCTCTCTACTACACGGGATTATTGGATCCCTCTGTGATGATCATTCCTTCTGGGGGTTCAGCACCTTCACTGACAGGAGATGGGAGGATCCAGCATTTTGGCGCAGTACCCAATTCTCCCAGAATGGGGCACAGTATTGTTAATGACCCCTTAGCAAAAAGCATATGGTACCACAAGAAAACCAAAGAATAGTAACAGCTATGACACTGACTATACTAATCAAATCAACCTCAATTGTGGCAGGAAACACAGAGTGAATATTGTGAAATCTAAGGACCAATAAAGTACCACATTTGTCCGTGGGAAACAGATGTATAATTACTGTATGAATGCTAAGTGAAACCAAATATTGTCCTACTATTGATCTACAGTAAATATCTACTAAATGCAACAACTCTACCTCTACCAACAATAGCACACTATTATTGAACAGCAATAGTGTACAGTTAATTGTTGATCTAGAGAGTCATACAGCTTAGAAGTTTTTCTAGTAAAAGTGGAGGTAGTAGAAAATGAAAAAAAAACATGATATGAAAAATAAATCGATGGGAGAAGAGGAGGAGGAAAGACAGTGTGAGGAGGGGCCCTATTAATGAATAAAAGAAAATTAGTATTGGCAGAGAACATTCTCTGGAAAGAATATGCAAAAGAAGTGAAAAGGTAAACAGCAAAAACAAGAGATAAAAGCAAAAAGGAAGACAAAAAGTTGGAAAAGAAAAAATAAAAGGTGAAAGCTATGAGAGAGTATGAGCAAACCTCAGACTGCAAAAAAGAATAAAAATAATACAAAAGAGGAAAAACAGAAAAGAATTGAGTCTAGGAGCACATTAGCGTGTTACTGAATGAGAGGTTCCTTTCTATGGCTCTGAAGTTTTGAGTTTCTCTACCTAGCTCTAGGTCTCTGGGTGGTTGAGGTGCTTCCTTGCCCTGGGGCCCATCTGTCATGTCAGGTCCTCCCCAGACTGCGGCTATGATTCAGGCCAAGGCATGCCCATGCTCCTGCTGGCATATGGGGAACATGACCAGCCCTCTTTTCTCTGGTGGTTGTAGACCACAAGGTGGGAGTTCCATTGGTCAGTCGGACTTACTCTCCACAGCCACAGGCTCTAGTTTTTCTTTCTCATCCCAGGAGTTGTCTTCAGACAGACTTGGTTCCACTTATGTGTCTGTGCCTGTGCCGCCCCATGTTGACATCTTTTGGTGGTGGTGGCGTGGGTTTACCACTGCTCCATCAGAGAATGGCTCCTTCATGTGGGAGAGTTGCTGCTTCTCCTGCACAGTCCTGCAGTTAAGGTTTGCAAGGGATGAGATTTAATATAAAACACATAATTTATAGGATTATTTTATAACACTCACCACAAAAATCAAATACTGAAGAGTGGAAGAGTCTCTACATGTGCTACATTCTTTGCGTTTCTAGTGCATGGATCACATAGCAATGTCCCGCCTGAGTCCAGCTAAAGACTTGGATCCCAGACAATATCCCCCAAGTGTTCAGCTGGAGCCTAGAGTCAACAACAATGTCTCATGAAGTCTGGGATCTGCACTGGAAAGGCCCAAGGGTAATGGTGGAAGCTAGAAAGTCTGTGCAAGCAGGATGAAGGATCAGTGCCAGCCGACCAAAGGATCTACACTAGAGACAGGAAGCAATGCTCAAGGTAAGTACCAGAACTGCCCTGAAACACCCACTGCCATCCTCAGGGACAGCAAGGATCTGAGCTCCTCTAGCAATGAAAGCAGCTGACCTCATATCAGGAAAACCACCATGACAAGCTTCCCCAAGAGAATCAAGAACACACCATCTTCACTTCCAGTTCTCTCTTTATACTGTTGGCAACAATCCTCGGGTGGGTCTTACACACCAAGAACACTGCTGACTCAGTTCAGCTGGGTATTTCAAGTTGACCATTCATTAATCCAGCACAGGTCTGCTCTTGCATATGGGGGGTGTTGAGGAGCTCTTTGTGTCAGTTCTGTCTCATGAACATGGTTATACTGAATGGATTAGCAGTTTGAACAATAAAAAGAATATGTGCTAAATGGTTATAGCTTTCCCACATCTAAAAAATAGAAACTACCCACACGGGACACAAAGTACATGGTCTGACAGGGATAGAAGAACAGGAAGTGATTCCAAGGGGCCACAAAGAAAGTTTCAAATGTTGTATGTGTGTGTTCTTTATCACCATTCGGGTGATGCTTTTTAGGGTTTACAAACAGTATCTGCCCTGCAGTCACCACATACTGTCCTGATTCTCTCTGTTTTCCAAAAAATCAGACATAAGCAGAAAAAAAAAATCCCCAACCCCTTATTCCTGCTTGACCTGCCATTAGGGAATAGCCACCAAGCAAGGGAATAGTGACATATCATCTTGTGCATGCCACTGGCCATCACCATGCTAATGATTCACTAGGGTTAGATCCAGTTAGGTCATTCCAGTTAGGTCTTCTTTTCAGACCTAACTTTTCAGACAAACACAATATATCATTATGCTGAATACTGTACTTTGAAATTAAATTCACCAGCTAAGGTTGAATAATCACTTGTGTGCACCTCAAAGTGACAACCTGCTATGGACCCATTGCCACTACCCCAGAAGTTACACTTTGAAACAAACATTCATGACTCTTGAGGAAATTAGTGTGAAATTTTCTAGAAACTCTCAGTACTAAATAGAAAGGAGGACAGATTTAAGCCAGGAAAAAACAGCACTAAAAGTCACAGCTCTCTACGTGTAAATTGCTCAGCACAGCACCCTCAGAGGAAATGGACCCTTAAATAGAAAAGACACTCCACCACATGCAAAACGTCAATGCACACGTTGCTTAAAAAGGGAAGATGTCACCCATGTCTCACATCACCAGAGGCTTTCCCAGTCTTGCTGCTTCTAAGTAGCACACTGAGTCAAGGCAAGATGGTGTGTGACTGTGATCCCAGCACTCCAAGCAGCTGAGGCAAGAAGATCTCAAGGCAGAGGCCAACCTGACCAATTTGGTGACCTAGGGAGACACTCAGTGTGCATCTGAAAAAATAAAGCCTGAGGATTTAGCTGTAGTTCATTGTGGAGATACAGGATACAAGCTCCAGTAAGGCAAAAGTAAGAAACTAATAGATCTATGGTTACTAGATAAAAAGATTCCTGGATACTTAGATAAAAAACATACAATAAGTAGCCACTGATTTATGCAGGATGAAGAAAAAGATGAGCTGTGGCGGACAGGGGACGGGAGGGGGGACTCCAGTCTAGGAAACCGAAGACATGACCTCACTTCCCTGGCAACCGGTCCAAACAGAACTTGGAAGCCCGGTAACACGACGCAGTAACTGCCCTCTCCGAGCTCACTTGGTTGGAGAACAGCAACAGCCAGGATGCTGAGCTGCTTCCAGACTTTGGGAGGCCGCAGCCTCAGGACCCCAGGCGGGGAAAGTCTCTGTGAAAGACTGAGGAGACGGCTGACTGCGTCCAGACGCCGCAGGCCACGATGCGGGAGCGACTCAACTGTTACAGACACGCACGGGAAGGTGTCCCCAGGACTGACCTCGACAGACAGACAAAAACCAACTTACCCGTGTGACGTCTGCCCAAGCCCAAATACCAACGGCACCACAAAGCGAAAGATCCCACGGCAAGTCTCGCGGGACCCAGAGACTCACAGGGGCTCAGGACAGGCCTCCCCAGAGCCGTGCACAAAAATCCTGGAGAGCCAAACAAGTGCAGGGTGGGAGAACGAAGTCACAGCCACCAGGCTTCGATACACACTCAGAAACCTAATGTGTATCTGCCCTGATTCGGGCCCCAGTGCAAAGCACGTCCTACGGAGCTATGCCGAACCCCGGCCGGTGTGGTCAGCGCAGGCAGTCGCGGCACGCTCACACCCCGAGCCCTTAGCGCCAGTTTTCCTGGGCAGCGAGCCCTACTATGGTCCCTCCTTCCCCAGCACCTCCACGACCCACACCTCTACCCGACAGGCCCTGCTCATGGGAAGAGATGTCACCACACCAGGTTCAGGGGCGTCCATCTCCCCTAGGGTCCTCTGTGATGAAGCTGGAGACCCCTGGTGTTTGGACGATAAACGGCTTTTCACCACCAAGGGGGTCGAGGCAGAAGAAAACCCATGCTCTATATCATCTCAGTGGGAATTAGAAGAAGCCTTTTGGCTGTCTGAGCTAAAGGAGGAGTACGAACTATTATCCCATGCATCGCCTTGTGCCTCGCCTTGTGCCTCGCCTTGTGCATCGCCTTGTCCATCAGAACACCATGAGATGCCTTGCCTAGAAGATCAGCCCACCCACCGCAGAGCTGCAGGCCTCTGGAGACTCTCCGACCATCATCTCAAACATGACCACGCCAAGGGCCCACCAGTCCACACTGAAACTGTAACCTTCTCTTCTGATAACTTCCGGAGCGAGGTAATTCGCCGTGCCACAGGAAGTGCGGGTCACACTGGTGCCAAGGGCCATACATTTCAGGCCAAGCGTTTCAGCAGGCGCGCTCACTGTGCCGTCTGCTCGGGCCATGTAGGGGGATTCGGACGCCAGGTATACAAGTGCATCGACTGCAAGCTGCTGGTTCACAAGAAGTGCCACACACTTGTCACAGCTGCGTGTGGCCAGCGTTCTTCACCACCGCAATCCGACACGCCAGTGAATCAACTGTCCACAGATTTGGACCCCACACCCACCGTGAGCCCCTCTGATCCTTCAAGCCACGACAGTTTGGAACAACTTGCTGAAGACAACGACCTAAAGAACACCAGAGAGAGTGGCAAACCTTCATCTAGTCTTGGTCTTCAGGACTTTCACCTGCTCCGGGTGATAGGCAGAGGAAGTTTCGCAAAAGTACTCTTAGTTCAACAACAAAATACAGAGCGAATGTTTGCGATGAAAGTTGTCAAGAAATCGCGTGCGGACATCCATCGGGCACACACGGAGAGGCGCATAGCTCAGCAGGCGTCCCATCATCCTTTCCTTGTTGGGCTCCATGCTTGCTTTGAGACAGAAAGCAGGCTGTGTTTTGTGCTAGACTATGTAAAAGGAGGCGATCTCATGTCTCATATGCAAGGACAAAGAGTACTTCCTGAGCCTCATGCCAGGTTTTACTCTGCAGAGATCAGCTTAGCACTGAACTACCTTCACCGGCGAGGCATTCTCTACCGCAACCTGAAATTGGACAATTTATTGCTAGATGCACAGGGGCATGTTAAGATCACAGACTATTGCGTGAGTAAGGCAGGACTAGAACCAGGAGGTGTGACTCGCACTTTCTGTGGCACGGCTAATTACCTGGCTCCGGAAGTTATCCGAGGAGAAGAGTACGGGTTCGGTGTGGACTGGTGGGCTCTGGGCGTGATCATGTTCGAGATGATGGCCGGAGAGTCTCCTTTTCCTATTATTGAGAACCCTGATTTCTCTGCTGAGAAGGCAATCGCTTATCTCCTGCAGCTCATTGTGGAAAGTAACATTGATGTACCCCTTTGTCTGTCCATACAAGCTGCAAGTGTCCTGCACGATTTTCTGAACAAGGACCCGAAAGAGCGACTGGGTTGTCATCCCCAGACGGGGTTTGTGGATGTTCAGAACCATCTCTTCTTTCAAAGTGTGGACTGGGAGCTGATGGAGCAGAAGCGGGTGATACCTCCCTTTAAACCAAATACTTCGGGAGAATTTGGTTTGGACAACTTTGACCCTCAGTTTACTAATGAACCAGTCCAGCTCACTCCACATGACAAGGATGTGGTGAGGAAGAGCGATGCATATGAATTTGCAGGTTTTGAGTATCTCCATCCTCTTTTGATATATGAAGAACAATGGGACTGATCCTCATTTTGCAACTGTGCATTCTGCTTATGTTGCCATTTCACGCATAGAAACACTTGTTCCCAGCCTGGACTCAGTGAGCCATTCCATAATTGCTTGGAAGCTGATTTTAATTTCATTTTATACTTCTATTTTGATTTAATACTTGCTCCCTATAGGCTTTACTACACAATACTGAATATTTGTTGCTATTGATAGAGTTACTATTGATGATTTGGCTTTAAAAAACCATGAGGGAATTGCTGTTTAACCAAACTTGTAAACACATTCCATTTGTTGAGTGGAGACAGAGTGTGTATGATTTTTCTTCGTATTTATGATACAGGAAAACAACTGGCCTTTTCAGAAGAACGTGTTCACTATGCTTTTCTTCTCCTCTCCCAACCATATCACCTGTGCTTTGGGCTCAGCTCATGTAGTCTTCAGGGAAATCCCAAACACATCACAACAATTTTGAATATATCTGCAGAAAACACATCGATCATAGTTCTACCCCGTTAGCTAATTTTCTTTAGTAGGATAATACATGAAATACATAGTAGGCTTCATTTCAAGGGCAGAGTTCTTCAAATCATTTTTATTAAAAGTAGTGGTCAGCATTGTATGAGGGAGTTGTCAGATATAGCCTCTTGTTTTACTACCATTTTTATGCAAAGGAATTTTTAAGAGTAAGAAGCAGCATCTAAGTTACTGTGGTACAATCAGTATAATTTAATTTTAGTTTAAGCTACCTAGTTTTAAACTTAGAATGATTTAAAATTTGTAAGCATTTAATAAATTATCTTTTTATCTTTCTTTGGAGGCCCCATATCATTAGAAATAGAACTTTCTTAATAGTTTATAACCATACAGTTTTTTCTTCACATAGATAATTTTAAAAGTAATGAAAATATCAAAGGAAAATGTTTATATACAGTCACAGGTTCATTTTCAAAATATAGACATATATGTTTTTCTTAATTCCTGGAAGTTGTTTTAAAACAAAAAACAGTTTTCATAATATAAGCTTATAGAGAATTCTACCATGCCAGAAATGTTTGTGATCTTGCTGTTACCTGTTGCTCTTTCCTGTAGGGCATTTCAGAATGCAGAAAAATCGCAGAGGGAGCGTGTTTAAAATGTTTATTATTCAGTCCATATAAGAATTCTTTTGGATCTTTGGCCTTCATTTAGAGAAACACTTTCTTCAAGTTATTCTTTTGTCCTCTGGTTAAATGGTAGAAAGGATAGCGATGGTATATTATTTGAAGATGTTCTAAGCAGTAATTCACAACTCAATGAAATTTTTTGAACAAATTTTAAATGAATGACTTTGTCAGGTATCTTTCCTATTTTCTCCCCGAAAAACCTTGTCAGTTAGCTACCAATGATATACACATGAGGAACATTTTTTTTTTTTTGGATGTTTTAACTTTTACTCAGATTGGTCTTTCCTTTTTAAAATTCTTAAGTAGTAAGACACTGTATATATTTTATTCAGAACTGCATTGCAAAGAAGTTTTTAATGGTGTCCTATTATTTGCAGTCTTTAAGTGTCATGCCACTTTATTTCATGATATATACAAGTTCTTTGAAAACAAGATAAGGCAGTTTCCAGCCAGAATAGTTTGTATTTTGGTGATCTAGGCAATAACATATTTCGCAAAAGCCTGTGGTCAGTTCATTTTAAGTATATGCAGCCTGGATTAAATTTCAATTACCCTGTCCATTGTTGGTGAATTTACTGTATAAATTTGTTTTGTATTCATTTTTGTCATGTACAATACTGCCATGGTCATCCCAATGTAACCTGTATTTCTGTACCTTGTTTTACATGTTAAAAACCTTTAAATAAAACATTTAATACATACACAAAAAAATTAAATCTGTCTTTATCAGCAGTTGACATACTTACCTGCATAGAACATCCAATTCTGCAAAAGACTACAGCACTAGAGAATAAAGCGGGTCACAGGATCCATGATGAGTATTTAGAAAATCCATTATATGGGAGGTGAAGGAAGAGGATCCTGTGTGGGGCCAGCCTGAGCAATATACAGAGACAGCCTATTGTAAGAAAGGAAGGAAGGAAGGAAGGAAAGAAGAAGGAAGGAAGAGAGGAAGGGAGGGAAGTGGTGGGAGGGAAGCAAAAAAGAAGGAAGGAGCATCCGGAGAGAGGGAAAAGGGGGGATATAAAACCATCACTTGGGCAGTTTCTTGAAAAGTAAAACACGCACCCAGAAGTTGACCCGGCCATTCCACTTGTAGACATTTCATTAGGACAGATGAAAGTATGTCTCTCTAACGACTTATACATGGATGTTGGTCATTTCTTTGTAACAGGCCAAGTCAGTACCTGTACTATTATACATCTTCATCAGCAGTGTCTGACAGCTTTGGCCGGTTGCTCCATACCCTCATCCACACTTGGGATGGTCACTCATCTGTAATTTTAGCCATCTCAGCCACTGCACAGCGTTAGCTCACTGTTTTCTTCAGTGTTATTGTTCCTACTGAAGGGGAAAATTAAAATTTTAAATGAAAACTTATCTAGGATGTGTGCAACACCAAGCAGACATATTTGGCAGGCCTGATAACAGAACACTTTTCCCTTTGTGTAAACCTCCCATATAATTGCTGTTTAATCTTTTCTCCCTTAGTAGAACTGATGGCCTTGCAATGTAATTTAAAATGTAATAGTACGTTTCTCCCTCTGTATAACCCATGCTTTGTATAACTGAGGGCCTTGTCATTTAACCTGGAATGTTTAAACTCCCTTAGCAAACCAAGATGTCACCCAAGCCTCCGATCATAATGTGCCAAATCTGCGTTTATACTGCCCTGCTCACTTTCCCTTTGAAAGCCCCCACACCCTACTGGCAGGCCTCTGGTCCTTTAGGAGAGATCCTAGTCTCCCTTTCCTTGTATTGAGAACCCTGATTTCCCTGCTCAAAAGGCAGTTGCTTATCTCCTGCAGCTCATTGTGGAAAGTAACACTGAGGTACCACGCTGTCTGTCCATACAAGCTGCAAGTGTCCTGTACAGTTTTCTGAACAAGGACCCAAAAGAGCGATTGGGTTGTCACCCCCAGACGGGGTTTGCGGATGTTCAGAACCATCTCTTCTTTCAAAGTGTGGACTGGGAGCTGATGGAGCAGAAGCGGGTGGTGCCTCCCTTTAAAACAAATACTTTGGGAGAATTCGGTTTGGACAACTTTGACCCTCAGTTTACTAATGAACCAGTCCAGCTCACTCCATATGACAAGCACATGGTGAGGAAGAGTGACGGATATGAATTTTCAGGTTTTGAGTATATTAATCCTCTTTCAATGTATGAAGAAGAATGGGTCTGATCCTCATTTTCCAGTTGTGCATTCTGCTTATGTTGCCATTTCCCACACAGAAACACTTGTTACCACCCTGGATGCAGTGAACCATTTCAGAATTATTTGGAAATTAATTTTAGCTTCTTTTTTATACTTATAATTAGATGTAATACTTGATTCTTATAGTCTATGATAGAGAATACTGAAATTTTTTGTTGTTTTTGACAGATTCGCTGTTTATGATTTCACTTAACTAACAATAAGGCAATTGCTGTTTAATCAAACCTGTAAACACATTCCATTTCTTGAGTGGAGACAGAATACGTATCATTTTTCGTATTATTTATGATAGGGAAAATAATATGCCTTTTAAGTAGAATGTCTGAACTATGCTTGTTTTTGTCCAAACTGTTTTACCTGAACTTTTGGCACAAAGTTCAGTAGTCTTCAGGCAAATACAAAAAATAGAAACCCTTTTGAATAAATCTGTAGAAAACACATACATCATGGTTCTACCCCCTTAGTTAAGTTTGTTTAGTAGGATAACACGTGAAATGCACAGAAGGAGTCTTTTCAGGGCTGAGTTGTTCAAATTATTTTTGTTAAAATTAGTGGTTAGCTGTTTATGAAAGAGTTGTCAGATGTAGCAATTCAGCTTTAATAAAATTTTTATGCAAAGGATATTAAAAGTAACCATCATCATCTAAATAAGTTACCATGGTACAATCTTTGTAGAATTTAATTGTAGGCAAGCTATCTAGCTTTAAGTTTAGAATGATTTAAAATTCATAGGCATTTAATAAAATATATTTTAAAATCTATGTTAGAGGCCCCATTTCATTAGAAATATAACCTTCTCAAAGCTTATGTTCATATATTGTTTTTTCTTCTAATAGCTAACTTTGAAAGTAATGAAAATACCAAAGGAAGTATTTAGATACAGTCCCATGTTCATTTGCCAGGTATACATGTTTCTCTTAATAACGGGAACTTATTTTAAAACAAAGAGCAGTGCTGGTAATATAAACTTACAGAGAATTCTGCCATGTCAGAAATACGTTTGTGATCTTACTTTTCGCTGTTGGTCTTTCTTATAGGGCATTTCAGCATGTAGAATAATCACACAGGGAGGTTGTTTCAACAGTTTATCATTCAGTCCCCCATTAGAACACTTTTGGGCCTTTGGCACTCATTTTCAGAAACACTTGCTTCAAGTTATTCGTTTGTCCTCCAGTTAAACACTAGGAAGTACATCCATGGTATACAATTTTAAGTACATCTATGGTATACAGTTTTAAGCAGCAATTTACAACCTTGTGAACATTTTTTGAACACATTTTAAATGAATAACTATGATATATCTTTCTTTTCCCCTCTCCCAAAAAATCTTCTCAGTTTTCTAACAATGCTATAAAAATGATGAGCATTTTCTTTGATGAGGTTTTAACTTTTATTTAAGGTGGTCTTGTTTTTAAAGTTTTTAAGTAGTAAGATTCACTGTGTATATTTTATCACAATTGCATTACAAATATGTTTTTAAACTGTCTTTTTGAAGTCTTTAAGTGTCATGCCAGTTCTTTTCATGATATACAGAAGTTCCTTCAAAAGGGAATAAGGCAGTTTATAGCGAGAAAGGTTGTTATTACAGTGTTCTAGAGAATGATTTATTTTGCAAGGGCCTGTGGTCAGATCATTTATGTATATGCAGCCTGGATTAAATTTCAATTACCTTTTTCAGTGCCTGTACATTTACTGTATAAATTTGTTGTTTTGATTTTTGTCATGTAAAATACTGCCTTGGTCATCCTAATGTAATCTCTATTTCTGTGCTTTCTTTTTCATGTTAAAAACCTTTCAGTAAAACATTTCAAACACATACAAAAAAATCAAAACTGTCTTTATCAATAGTTGACGTAATTACCTGCACAGAAGATCCAAGTTTGAAAAAGGCTACAGCACTAGTGAGTAAAGCGGGTCACAGAATACCATAGGAGTATTTTAAAAATCCATATGGGAGCAGAGGCAAGAGGATCTCATGTGAGGTCAGCCTGAGCAATACACGGACAGTCTATTGAAAGGAAGAAAGGGAGGGAAGAGGAGAGAAGAAGTGAAAGCAGGAAGGAAAATAGGGAAGGAGGGAAAAAGGGGTGGGATATAAATGCTACTATCACTTTGGCAGTTTCTTTTTGTTGTTGTTGTTGCTTTTTTTCTGGTACCGGGAATTGAACTCACAACTTTGCACTTGCCAGGCAGGCGCTGTGCTGCTAAGCTAAATCTCCAGCCCCACTTTGGCAGTTTCTTGAAAAGTACAACACGCACCCAGAACTTGACCCGCCCATTCCACTTCTAGATATTTAATCACAAGAGATAAAGTATGTCTCTGTGAAGACTTATTCATGGATGTCGATCATTTCTTTGTAACAGCCCAAGTAGGTACTACTACTTTACATTCCCATCAGCAGTGTCTGAGAGCTTCTGTTGTTCCCTACCCTCATCCACACTCGGGACGGTCCCTCATCTGTAATTTTAGCCATCTCAGCCACTGCACAGTGTTAGCTCATTGCTTTCTTCAGTGTTATTTTTGGTATTAGTAAGAAGTCACTTTAAAATTTTTATTTACAAATAAAATACAGTACAACTGACTTAAATGTGCTAACGATCCAGATATCTAGGAACAGGTGAATGGAGAAACAAATTATGCAGTATCGATACACTGGCATATCAGCAAAAAGGGAGAAGCTTTGGTCTCCTCAAACACCCGGACAAGTCTCAAAACGACTACGCCGAGTGCAGCTGGGAAAGGGTAAAGGCCTGCTACAGGCTTTCATTTACGTGAAATTCCAGGAATGCAAACTAATATAGTGTCAGAAAGCAGAGGCGTGGTTGCCCGAGAACAGGCAGCAGAAGGCAGCACGTTCCCAGTTCCAATAGTTTAAAAGCGCATTAGAGAAACAACTCCTTAAGACTCAGGCCCTGCAGAACGCCCCCGGAAGGCGCACAGCCAAACTGGCCGGGGTTCAGGCGCGCGGGGGCGGGCGGGGGAGGAGCGCGGCTCCGCCCCCCGGGACACGTGGGCTCAGGGGGCGGGGCGGGGCCTCGCACTTCCCCTTCAGCAATCAGCACCGCCGCCCTTCGCCGTCACCTCACCCCTCACCCCTCCGGTTATTGTCCTGCGGGATGGAGTAGTGTTTGTTTCCGAGCTGCTCCGTGCCCACGTGCTCCTTCACCCCCTTTGACAGCGTCCTCCACGGGGCGCGGAACAAACCTTGAAGGCGACCCACGCTGGCCCTCTGTTATCCCTGGGAATCGCGCGGAGCTGCGGCAGTTAAAAGCGAAAGTCTCACCCACCAACCGCTCCCTCCGCGCAGTTCCCGCCTACGTCCTCAAGTCTTCTACGTCATCGCGCTCCCCATTGGTCACTTGGAATTACGCTTGGCCAATAGGAGATTGTGTTGTGACAGCGCCTCAACTGAAGATGTTTTGGCAGCCTAATATGCGGTAAGGACAAGAGATGCTGGGTTTATTCCTTGAGACAAGCAAGTTTGGAGGACCCTCTGTGCTTCCAGAGAGCAATCAACGTGGGGGTAAGGAAACCTTACCTTTACCTCTAGCAAGCTAAATCTAGACCAGCTGCTAGAGCACAGAGTTGAGGCCTTAGCTGTTGGCAAGAGATGAAGTTAAAGTAGGGAGAAGCTGGATAAGCAAGAGCCTCGCGCACTTGGGTAAAGGCGTGAAGATGAGAATCCGGTTACCGCTACTGGAGTTTGCCTCCTCCTTAGAAAATGGACTGAATCTGGGAACAAGAGTGGGAACCAAGTTAGGTAATTTGCAGTTGTCCTGGAGAAAGTTGATGGAAGCCTGAGGTGGGGAGGTGGCAGGTGGGACAAAGAGAAAGAAGAGATTTGAATAATGTCTAAGAAATACAAACAGCAGCCATGGGAATGGATTGGATGGGTGAATAATGCAAAAGGAAGAATCAATAGTAATTCCTAGGTAAGTGCCTTCTATAGGAAATTGTATTTTAGATCCATATTCTGAGATAACACTTTCCAAATGGGAAGCAAATTTTATTCTTCATTTCGCTTGTACTGAATTTGAGGAACCTGTGAAGCTGGTAGTTTAGAGAGTGGAGATAAGACAGTAGTTGTGTGAATTCTATGCTCAGGGGAAGTTTAGATGTTTTTCAATGTAAGATACATGAAGTCATAAAGAGGAAATAAGGTCATCAGTCATGCATGCATATTAATAAGAGTAAGAGAGGTAGTTCAATGGAAAAAATTTGAACATTTAAAGTTAGGCAGAAGGAGCTAGCGATCTAGCTCAGAGGAATAGTGGTTGCCCACCATGGGCAAAGCCTTGGGTTGGACGTCCAGCCGTAGGAGAGGGATGTTAGGCAGAAGAACCTCCAGATGACTGGCACCAGTAAGCAGAGAGGTAGCAGGAAAACCAGGGAGATGCGGTGTCATGGATGCTGAGGGAAGGCAGTGTTTGCCATAGAAGCTATCAAATGTGTCAGATTCTGCCCTGTAACCCTCTTCTTTGCTCTCAGTAGGTGTCTGTCCCATTACTCTGCTTTGCTTTTTCTCATGCATTCCATTTTTATATTATTATTAAAATTGTATTATGTAGTTTTTCTTATGACTATTATATTCTTAGCCCTTTAGAATAAAAGAGATCTAAGTGTTATGTAAATGACACACATTCAATAAATCTGAGGAATTCAGTAGGAATTAGAAGTTTACATTGCATGTAAGTGGCAGGATAATTGCTAATGACTTTGGTAATAGCAGTGTCAGAGGAATGATGTGAATAAAAAGAAGATTTTAGTAAGATGAAGAATAACAGTGTAAAGGAAGTAAGGACTTCTAACAGTAATGATTTCTTTATGAAATTTAAATTGATAGGGAGAAAAAAACAGTACGTTTTGCTTACTGACAAACTGATGCATATGACTCATTCTAATATGAGGAAAAACTCAGGAAAAACTCAACTACGTGTTACTTATCAATATCTGGGTAACAAAGTAGCCAAAATTCAGCAGCGTAAGACACTTGTGAGATGTATACTTTCACAGGCTCAAAATGCTGATAATCTATGTCTCTTTACTGGGTCCTCTATCTGGCTCATCAAGACAGAAAGGCTACCAACAAGATATCGGATGGGTTGATAGTCATCCACAAGACTTGACTGGGGGTAGATTCACTTCTAAGCACACGGAAATGATAGTAGACAGACTGAGTTCCTCACTAGCTTTTGTCTGGAGGCCTCCAACAATTTCTTCTCCATGGGGCAGAGTACAGCAAGACAGCTGGCTCTCATCAAAGCAAATGAGTATGGGATGGAAGCCCAGCTCTTTATAACCTAATCTCAAAAAATGACATCAAATCACTTTTGTGACATTCCACTCATCAGATGTAAGTCAGTAGGTGTGGCCTACACTTAAGAAGAGGGAACTAACTCACGTCATGGATACCAGGAGGTGGAGACCATGGGAAGCCATTTTCTTAGGGCCTTATCACAACTGAACAAAAATATATATTATCTTAATAGATAATAATCATTTAGTGGGCTGGGGATATAGCTCAGTGGCACAGCGCCTGCCTGGCAAGTGCAAGGTCGTGAGTTCAATTCCCTGTACCGGAACAAAACAAAACAAAACAAAACAAAACAAAACAAAACAAAACATAATAATCATTTAGTGATTTCAACAAGTAACTGTGTAACATTTTGTGTCTAAAATGTTGTATTATCTTTACATTTAGTGTTACTTCTTTAGGGCAGTAAATGTGTTCCTAAATATTGAGTGTAATTTTAACTAAACAACTTAACATTAAATCATTTTTTCAACCAGTGTGGTTTTTAAACCTGTGTGGCATTGCACATGCTACTGATCTCCTCTCCCTAATCCCAGTCAGTTATTGTAGCAATGACAGGAATTTTTGTTCAACTCAGCCATTTGTTACCACACACACATCCAGAGAATATGAATTCATTGACTGCAAAAACTCCATTTTATATGTATCAAAATTTGCCTCTCTTCTCCAGTAATATGTCGTGTTCACACGAAGTAGTTCTGCAGTTCTTCCATTATGATCAGCAAAGGAAGTGGGGAAAAGCTAGTGGACTTGCCTATTGCTTCATCTTTGATTTCAGCAAAAAGAGCTTTAATTTTTTAATAAACATTACTCTTTTCCCTGTAGTTTAAGTTAATATGTTTAGGAATCTTATAATTTCAGCAGTAATTTTAATTAGGGAGCCACTGAGCATCCTAACAATTGGGTGTTGTGACTCTAAAAGGGTCTTCTTGCACTGATGAAGCAACATTCTGACCTAAACATCTTCATTCACTGAAAGGTATAAAATTTCAAAACAGTGAGAGGTCTCCTAACCAAATCACTAGATGAACTCATAATTGGTATTACTTAGTACTTCCCTGTAGAACCTGATTCCTGAACTATAACTGAACATTTCTGACTAAACATATGCCCTGGTAATCTCATGAACATTTCTTGTTTTTTTGTTTTTTTTTTGTTTTTTTTTGTTTTTCTCTGGTACCGGGAACTGAACTCACGACCTTGCACTTGCCAGGCAGGCGCTTTGCCGCTGAGCTAAATCCCCAGCCCCCTTATGAACATTTCTTCCACTATTTTTTTTTTTTTTTTTTTTTTTTTTTTTTTTTTGCTTTGGGGAGGTGGCAGGTGGGATAAAGAGAATGAAGAGATTTGAATAATGTCTAAGAAATAGAAACAACAGCCATGGGAATGGATTGGGTGGGTGAATAATGCAAAAGGAAGCATCAATAGTAATTCAGTAGTATTCAAAATAAAAAGTCAGTATTTATCCTGAAGCCCATAATGCCAGTTTCACTTAATATTTTTATTATGTAATTTTCATGTGAGCTGGTGAAATATGAATACAAAGAATTGCTACTCTTACAAATGTGAGAGTGCTTATGAAATACTTGACCCATCAAATGGCTTTAAACAAAATGCTTATTCAATGAGGTATAGCTGAGATGATTATTACAAAAGATGGGAAGATATTATAAAAATATAAAACTTTATCAGAATATTGGGATCACGTTGAGTATTTGGAAAAAATATGTCAAAGATCAATTACTAGAGATTTTAATTCAGCTTAGTTTAAATATTCAGAATATTGTCTAAATATAATCACTTTTGTCTGATCTTTTTGCTGAGCATGATTATTTTGAAGTTTCTCCAGTTTCCATGTATCAATTCCTTTTCATTGCTGAGGAGCATTCCTCTAGGTATATGTACTATTTATTTGTCTACTCATGTTGTGAAGGGCCACCTGGATGACTCTCCTTGAAAGAAGAGCAATTATCTCCATTTTGGCTAAACCTGGCCCTATTTCCATATATTGATGGACAGAGCTGGCTAGGACTTTTCCTTATCACTTCAACTGGCTTTAAGCAATGCAAATGGTTCTAGCCCAGGTGCTGACGGGTAGTCTTCGAAACAAGGCAACAGGTCAGTGTTACCCCACCCTGTAGCTCCCAAAAAACATACGTGAGAGCCACACTCAATGCTGTCTTCTGGGATCAAGCCTCAAGATAAGACACTGTGACTTCCCACGGCATAAAAGATTACACATCGGAGCTGAAGCAATGACCTAAAACATTAGATGCTACCTCAAATTGTGTTATGCAGATTACTCCTGCATACCCTCCTCTCTGCATATTGCACAGGTGCTTTCAGACCACGTCCCTAGCCCAGCTCATGACACTCAGTATTTTCCATCATTCTGACAGTCATTCACCCTCCAGCCACCCACTTTTTCATGAAGTAATAAAACCTGGGTTTGGCCCTGGGTGGAGGCCTTTGTTCTGATTAGCTTGACTTAGGACCCCTTGGCTCCCCACAACTGAGATATGCCTTAGTGTCTTCATTCTTGCCATAGGTTGCACTGGAACTGGTAGATTAGAATTAACTCACTAGAATGCCAATAACTTTTCCATGGGATTACAAATATAAAACTTCTTGGACTGAGACAAGGACCAAGAAGTGCTTCTATAATGGGTTGCTGGACACTTGAGTTTATAGTTTTTGGTTATTGTAATTAAAGCTGTTATGAAAATTTATACACCAGTCTTTGTATGGGTATATGTTTTTATTTCTGATGGGTTAGTACTGGAAAAGTGGAATATAAATACATGTTTCGTGTAAGACCTCATAATTTTCCAGAAGCATTTCATGGTACCACAAGCAGGGAAGAGTGCTTCACTTGTTCATTCCATGTCTTTCCCCCACTTTTCTGCTTTCTTGTGCGTTACTTGAACATTATTTAGTATTCTGTTTTAATTGACTTTGTGGTTTTCACTTTATCTCTTTCTACACATGTTTACATATATATATATTTAGTAGGTGCTCTGGGAATTACAAAATACAAACTTAACTTTTCATTGTCAATATAGAATCCTTATTTTAATGCTTCTTTTGATATGTAGAAACTTTGTCACCCTTTCTTCTCCTGCCTAGATGTTGATGTCTTATAGATTTACATTCAGTATAGGCAATGTTATAATTTTTGTTTTCAATCATCAAATATGTTTTAAGAGAAGAACAGTCTAATTATATTTACCCAGATATATACCATTTCTGTTGATTTCTCTTCATTCTTGATGTCCCATGTTTCCTTCTTATATCATTTCCCTTCTGTCTAAAGAGCGCTACTTCTCAGTTCTTTTAGGTTAGATCTGGTGGCTCCATGTTTTCTGAAAAGGAATCTGCAGTTACTCAAACATTTTTTTTTCTCTGTAGATAATTTGACCTTTTCTTTTGACATCTTTAAATATTGTCTTCAGTTTTTAGCAGTTTGATTATAATATTCCTGGACATAGATTTATCTGACTTTATCTTACTTAGGGTTTGTTCTGCTTTTTTAGTTTGGAACTTTATGTCGCTCACAGCTTCAGAAGATTTGCACCATTTTTTCCATTATTTTCTTGCTACCAAATTTTTTCTTCTCTCTTTCTGGAATTCCAGTGTCATAAGTGTTATTTTTTTGCAATTACTCCTCTGGTCTCCGAAGCTCTGTTCTTCCCCTCCCCCCAATCTTTCTTTCCTCTTATCAGACTGTGTAAGTTCAATAGCTCTATCTTCAAGGTCCTCTGTGAACACCAGTCTACACTGTGTCCCTTAAATTAGAATAATTTTAGGTTGAAAAGTTCCAAAATTTCCATTTGGTTATTATTTTCTTCTTCTATTTCCTTCCTGAGAGCTCCTATATTATCATTTGTTTCAAGTGTGTTCAGAAACTCTTGCTCAATGCATTTTCCAATGCTGCTGTGAAGTCTGTGAAGATAATACTAAATGCTGTGTCAAATCAGCTTTGGCTTCTATTGCTTGTCCTTTCCTGTGCAAGTTGAAGTAAATTTTCATGGTTTTTCATATGCATAGTAATTGTGGACTGCATTATAGACATTTTGATTACACTGTTATGAAGCTCTGGGTCTTATTTAAGTTTTAGGAAGAACGGTAATACTTTTGTTCTAACACATGACTGGCAAGATTAGATTGAAGATGGAAATATATATGTTTATGTATATACATATGTATATATATGTATGTATCTATCCAATTTTAGTTTAGTTTTCAAAACCTCTTCAGAGCTGTTCAGGTGTGTGCCACTCAGAGTATGACCTAAGTGGTGGTGGTTCATTCTTTTTTTCAAACTTTTTGTATGATATTCATAATTAAATCCATGCATGCTGTACTCAAGAATGAGTCCAAAAGGTTATAGGCACTTTTAGGACATCCATATTCTGACCTCCTTCATGTCTGTGCTGTCCCTGATATTTCCAAATTCCCTAGGACTGCCTTTTTTGGTTGTCTGGTCAGAAGCTTTAGGCTCTGGTTCCTGTGTTCTACTATAAACTTCCATTTTTTGAACCCAGGTTCAGGTCAGAAGTGAGAAAGTAAATAAGAAGCAAGCGGTGTTTATCACACCTTGTTGGTATCAAAGCTCTGGTAAACAAATGAAATGGCTTTATTTAAGTATGCTTAATTGTTGAATCAAACCATTCTAATTCTACATACTTAAGAAAAGGGAATTTTTAACAATCCTGTAATTTAAGCTTTGTCCACTAGGTGACCTCAGTTTAATATTTTAGAATTAAACTGTGAGACGTTTCAGTCTCTAAATATCTTTTTTAAAACATAATAAATGCTTCAAATGAAATTCAAGATAATACTTCAGGTGAAAACATGCGCAGAACTGTTAATATTTTCAAGTTTTGTGATCCTTACAGTTCTATAAATACTTATAAATATGTAGTAGAAAATTTAAGCATTACCAATGATTTTCATACTATATACTATCTTGGTGAAGAATTTACTGATTCTAAATTATCGTGTTAGTATGTATGTATATACAGGATAGTTAACATGGTTATTCTTCTGTCTTCTATTTCTATGCTGAAAGAAACTGTCAATGAGTCTTTGGTTGACCAGTATTGCATGTCTGTATCTGTTTTCATGAGAAGCCACTTTGAAAATAATACGGAATACAACAACCATTGTTAATCCCCTACCACTTTGTTTGTAACTCTGTATTGTCTGTACTGTGCTTGTGATATGTTGTAAAATGTTGTATGTCTGTTAATGTTTCCCTCCTTTTATCTTTAAAATAAAAAAAAATAAATTATCGTGTTATTGTCGAGCCTTATCATTATTTTCTCTCTAATATTTAAAGGTTTGGGGACTGGAATTAAACAAAGACAGAGATGTTGAAAGAATCCATGGGAGTGGAGTTACGCCCTTGACATCGAATTTGTTGAAAGGAGATAGTAAGTTTATTCAACATATATATCACTTTCTTTCTAGGATGCAGTACAATGTTTTTTCAGGTTGATCTGGTAGAAGTTTCATAAAAAAGTCTGAATTATACCTTTTTTGAAATCATGAGTTCATTTACACAGATGTAAAAAGTGCAAACTGTTGCCAAATGTTCATTGTTAAATGAACAAAGATTAAACTTGATTAGATGCAGTGGGATTAAAAGGGCTAGGACATATCTTTAGGTGGTATTTTAAAAAAAATAGTTACTACTTTCATGGTATTCATTGGGAAAACACACAAGCAAAAGCATAGAATGTCCAAAGCAGTGTTGCTTATATTTTTATTCCTTTCAGAAGTTAACAGACTTCTACAAATGGAATAGACAAGTTAACTTCTATAAATGGAATAGACAAGGTTTAGTTATCATTTATTTTTTAGCACCCTCTGTTACTCCCCTAAGTAAAGCTCTGAGTAGTCTGGCCCCTGTTGACCACTTATCCCTTACCACTCTTCCATACCCCTCAGCCACATGTTCCTTCTTTCAGTTTCTGGAATGAAACAGGATTGTTAACTCCAATTCTTCCTTGAAATTCCAGTTTAAATATTACAATCAAGGAAATTCAAAGTTAGTTATTATCACAATGATATCAATTATAACTAACATTTTGTGTGATTATGTACACTACTTGTCTTTCCTACTAGACTGTAAACTCTAGCCAGGAACAGTGCCACTCTTGTCCACAGCTGTATTAGCAGACTGACTTACATACTGTTAGGTGCTCAGGTGAAGCTGAACAGATGGAATGAATACATTCACAAGAGAAAGAAGGAGGTACTTACAAAGAACTTGGCACTTTTATCATCCTATCAGCTTTGTGATTTAGGTGAAAAGGGCCTCCTTTCCTACCAATGTTGAAATGTTTAGACATGTGACATAAGGTGCCAGGGTCACATAGCTGTTATCATAAATAGCTCGTCTCTCAGATTCCATTTTCATTTAGCACAGTTAAAATTAACAGTTAAAATAACTTTGTAGTATCTTCCTTTCTTAAGAAGTTATCATTTGCTGATTTATTTCACCCTTTTTGTAATCATGAAGATAAACTTGGATGATCACTGATTGAATTTTTATATGGTATAAAGTCTTTAGGCTCATTGAAATTTTTTCAAATTTTCTACTAGTATATGTCTGTGGTAAATTATGATTATATTCATCATGGAGAGTTGTTAACAGGTACATAATGTACCTTAATACTTTTTTGTACCCTATCCCTCTCATCTGCCCTGCTCCTTTCATTGCTTGGTCCCCTTCCCATGTGCAAAATCTGTCTTTTCATTTTTTCCCTTATAATTGTTCCTCCCCCGCTTTCCCAGCTCCCCCACCCCTACTCCATCTCATGTTGAAAACAAGGATGAAGTCTTATCCTATGAATATTAAGAAATTTTAGTTTACTGAAGTTTATTGTAGTCCTTGTTTGTGAGAATTGACTCTGTATTTATAATCATATACATTGGATATTTAACAATCAACTTTTTCATAATATATACATTATCATAAAGAAATGAAGTAATAAAATGATCAATTAATGAGAGTTCTTTTATTATAAGCATGTTATCAGCTGGTTTCTATGGAGTGATTGTCCTTTATGACCTTGAGAACTTCAGCAGACATCGTTATTACACAGGAAAAGCAGTGTGTTCCATTGGCAGATATGTGTTGAAAAATGTAATTCATAAATTTGGGAACAGTTGAGTACTTTTGCGTTTCCTGCAAAACATGAAAAGAGCAATTATGAGCAATTATCTGAGTAGCTCATGCAAATTATGCAAATGATGTATTTATATTGATATCTTTGGTGCTTTCTTTGAAATAATGGAAATTCAAATACAGTTTTTTCTTTAAAAATTATGTGGTTTCCCCAAAACAATCTATGAACTTTCAAAAGAATGTTTAAGGCTTTTGATCATGCGTTTTTTGTTCTATAGCTAAAGAGCACATGTCAGTAACTAATTAGTTATTAGTATCACTTAGTAAAAGATTCATTTATGGTCTGCCCTCCAAGCGCCTGGTGCAGACAGGAGATTCTGACTCAGAAGGCCCACCAACTGCTAACAACGGGGTTTGTGTTTGGGCCCTCCCTGTGCATGTCCGGTGCTGCCTGAGGTACTAGAGCAGGTGGTCCACAAACTGCTGACACTGTGGCTTGTGTCTGGGCTTTGCGCATGCCCTGACCTCCTGGAGGTTGCAGCAACAGATGGTCTGCCATCACCACCAGTGTAGCCCTCATCTGGCTCCTGTGCACTGCCTGAGCTGCCTGGAGACACAGAATCAGGTGATCTGTGATCTGCTGACTTCACAGCTTGCAGCTGAATGCTGAGAGAACCAGGTATTTCCCATCTACTTCCTTGGGGGAGAGGCGGTAACCCACGACCCCACTGCCATTACAGTCTGAGTCTCCACCCTCTGTGCACCTGGTGCAGAGAGTAGATTCTGACTCAGAAAGACCATGAACTGCTAACACCGGGGTTCAAGTTGGGCATGTATACTGTGCTGCCTGAGGTACTACAGCACACAGTCCATCAACTGCTGGCACCGCGGTTCACATCTGGGCTTTACATGCACTCTGATCTCCTGGAGGTCACAGGAAAAGGTGGTCCATGATCACCAGCAGTGCAGCCCACATCTGGCTCCTGTGCACACCCTGAGCTATGAGGAGACACGGAATCAGATGGTTCAAAAACTTAACCCTGAAATTGGTATCTGGGCTTTGCCTGCACCCTGAACTGCCTGGGAACACAGGACCACTGGTCTGTGATTGCACCACCAGTGCAGCCTGCTTCTGCATCATGCTCATGCCCTGAGCTGTGAGGGGACACTAGATCAGATGGTCTGTCACTGGTGACATCACAGTTCACATCTGAAACCTGACAGAACTACGTACATTTCACCATCTGCTGGAAGACCCCAGACTAAGCAGCGCATCTCAGTGGACACTGAGGGGCAAGCCTGACCACCAGAAAAGGTAGGAACACTAGTGACCTTTGCTGAGCTGCCAGGGAAGAAGGAGACTGAGCATTCTGCTTCTGGCATCAAACATGACAAGACGAAGGACTAAAATGCAATCTCAGAACTCCACCTCATTCAGAGCAAGTCCAGGAGACATCGACATAGGAGAACTTGGTAAACACACACCTGAAATTGCTGAAATGATTGCAAAGGAAGTAAAGAAACAACTCCAAAAGGCCATAGAAGAGATCAAATCAGAAATAACCTCTCAGACAAAAGTGAAATGACAATAATAATGAAAGAATTGCTCAACACATCTAAAGAAATAAATAAAAAATAGATGAACATAGGCAACTAATGGAAATGTTAAATGAGCAATATAAAAATGAACTAGAATGCATGAAACAAACTAAAAGAGATATCCAGGAAATAAAAACTTCCATTGAAAGCTGGCAAACTGTTTGAATGAAGCCAAACATAGACTTTCAGATCTTGAGGACAGCATGGCAGTTAGCGATTGTGAAAGAAAGGACCTCTTAAAATCAATAAGAAACCAGGAAAAATTAATACAACAGCTGCAAGACAAGACAAAGAGAAATAATGTAAGACTCACAGGAGTCAATGAAACAGCAGGAGGCAACACAGAAGACATGAAAAGAATATTTGCAGAAATAATAGCAGAAAATTTCCCAAGCATAGAATCAGAATCTGATATACAGTAAATGAGGCATATAGAACTCCAACTAGTCATAACCAAAATGAAACTACACCTAGACATATAATAATCAAGATCCCAGATCCAGCAAAAGAACAGACTATTAAAGGCTGCTAGAGAAAAGAAACAGGAAAGCCCATCAGAATCACAGCAGACCACTTTGAAGATATCAATATGTAATACAGCACCCATTGTTAAATTTCTACCACTTTGTCTGTAATTAAGTATAGCTTATATTGTTCTTTTGCTATTTTGTAAATGGATGTCTGTTTGTTAATATGTTTTCCTTCTTTTGTTTTTAAAATAAATTTTAAAAAAGATTCATTTATGAATCTTTCACTTATCAATGCAAGTTGGGTTTCCAACTAATATTAATAGGAAAAAACAATTCAGAGCTAGATGTAGTAAATATTTAGACAACCACTCAGCGCGCGCACACACACACACACACACACACACACACACCCCTCTGCTTAAAGTTGCTTAACATTAAAAAAAAAACAACTCGTCTCAACTTCTTTGGCTATTCTTTCATGGTCTACCAGTCTGTTTTGTGACTTTGAATAGTTTTTTTCATACTGGTGGTTAATTCTCTCCTATCACCTGACTGTAGTCAGCCACTGAGCAGACCTTTGCATGGACAGAGAGTAGGTGCTGAGGAAAGTGATTCAGAAGAGATACTTCATGAACATTAACATGAACAACTGCTGTGTATTAAAGCTGCTTCCAGAGCACTAGAGTCTGCACTCTGGGCTGTGGATCAACTCAAGAGAGCTACACATGCTTTTTAGCTCTGTCCCTTCTTTATGGAAATGCAGATTTGAGGTAATTGTTAATCTCTCTGAGCTTCAGGTTAGTTTGTTTTGGAGATAATTTTACTTCCCTTGTTATTTTTCAATTTTATGAAAACTTAAACAATTTCCTAACAAAATAATAAGAGAATAGTTAATATTCTATGTATCATTCTCTTTAAAGTAGAGTACAAAACATAGACCAAAAAGATTCTTTCAAAGAAGAAATAGATAATAAGAGAAAACTTTTCCCTTGTCATTTGTAAAAGGCTTCTGTGATAATTAAATATTTTTATAAGCATGTTGAAAACTACAAATCATTGTATAAATGAAAAGCAATATTAGGTATATAAAACTTATTGTAGAATAAAATATCCCCCAGAGGGGCCTGGGATATAGCTCAGTGGTGCAGTGCCTGCCTGGCAAGTTCAAGGTCCTGAGATTGATTCCTGGTACCAAAAAATAAAAAATAAAAATAAAGATATCCCCCAGATACTCTGGAATTTGATTTCTAATACACTGAGGCTTTTTATACTCTCTTCTCACCCTTATACATATAGATCCTAAATTTTAAAATATTACTAATTATAACAATAATAAACATCGAAAAAGACTATACGCCACATTAGTTAAGTAACAATTTCACTAAGATTCTTTTTAAAATGAGATTGTAAATTCTGCTGATTGAATATTTTAACTCATTTTGTAAAGATGCTCCCTATATGCCCATTTTCAAATTCATAGCCATTGTTAGTAAAACAAGAGTGACCACACTAAGCGTTTTTAAACTTATGTTACACAGCAAAAAAGATCACATTCTCTCACATGACATGACATTTAGAACATATGAAAATACTATGAATCTATATAACATACTAAAGTTAATGCTAGAATGTTAGTTATAATAAGATAAAAATGAATCAAATTAACTGTCTTATCACAATAAGCAATCCTTATTTTACATTTTAAAAGACCTGTACATATGGAATCATGAATACATTTAACAACCCATAAGATTAACAATAGTGTATTGTCATACATATGTGAAAACCTTTGTTTCTTAATTTAGTTTTGTACCAAGAGCATCTTTTGTGATGAAAGTTTATTTTATTCATTTATTCTCTACAAAACTTTATTTTTTGACTAATGACCAAATTATTAGGGGTATCTCCCAAGAGACTGTCAAGATCATTGGGGGCTCCTTATTAATGAAAAAATGTTGGTCATCCCTCTGTTCATTGGAGTCCTGTCCAATAAACTCTCCCCACACTAAGGAATTTTTTTATTATCATAATTTTTTGGTGACCTGTGAGTAAACCAATTTTGATATCATTGAGCCTAGCTGGTAACTCAGGTGAAAGCCTGCTTCTACATCTATATTCCAAACCTTGATAATGTCAAAGAGAAGACCTAAATTATGATTAGTTAGCTTAAGATCCGGCCAACGCCTATTATTTAAGCCAAATAAAGTCTGAAAATCAGTTTGAGTTGATCTAAACAGTTTGGAGCACAATATATCTTTGTTGAATTAGGTGACTCAAATATGAAGAAGTTATAGCTTGTACCCTTTGGAGGCCAGCACCAGGCCTGCCATTATTTCAATGGGTTGTCAAAATCAAGTGACTGTTCAAACCCCATTGTTTTCAGGTTGTACTCCAAACCTTTATACTTGCTTGTAAAATATCAAAGCTTTTCTATACCAAATAAATTTAGGACTTTAAAACAGACAATCAACCTTATTAGAAATCAAGAGAATTTAAGTAATCTTTTAAAATATCCCCATTATTGTAAATCTTAGGAAATATGATTTTTTTAACTAAGGGCAAAACATTTTTTATCTTGAAGGTGGAAACAGCTTTTTAAATAAATCACCTTGAGGAAAAAATGTAAAAGCTTCTCCTTAAGTGTCATTTGTAATGGAGAGAGAAAACCACTCTATTCCCTGTGAGGCTTTATTTCCTGCAAGGCAGAAATTCCCTGGGAGGCTGTATTCCTTGTGAGGAGGAACGGCCTTTTGCATCCCTCCAGGTCAGCAATCTAGCACCTTTGTTATTTTGGACCTGTAGCTGCCACACCTGGAGGCCATCCTTACTTGTGTATGAAAGCCCTTTAAAATGTTTTTCTTTAACTAATCAATTCTTTAAACCCAATACAAGTCAAAAACCCCAAGCCTTGGATCCCCCTTTTTTATTTATAATTTTTTCATTTATGTCAAGGGAAGAATCACCACTTGAGCAATATGAGAGTCTGGGGTGATTTGAACAATGTTTTGAGTAATTGAATTTTAACCTTGATTTTTTTTTTTCTTTTCTAGCCTTGATCGGTGACACCAGGGAAAACTTGGAGACCTCTTTGCAGCCTCTGGCTACAGTTTCTGCTCCATTACCTTGGGGCTAGGAGAGATACTTGTAGTGGTTCACTGTCCTGTTTCACCGTCAGGAATGGGCTCCATCAACAGGTTTCCCGCCCCCGCCCAACACACACACACACACACACACATACACACACACACACACACACGTACACTCTCCACAATCATTGCCTCTGTGGTCACAGTCACCAAAAATATCTTTTTTTCCCCTCTGTTTTTTTTTTTTCCTCTATTTGGCCAGTCCCTTTATAGTTGTGTATTCATTGCTAGTGTAATGGGTGGGGCTAGCTGTGGGTGGGTAGTAGAGGTGCCCAAGAAGTTTTTGTGGGATCCAGAAAGGAATGGGGTGTGCAGCCATTGTCCCAGCCTGTTGGCCCCAGGCACTGCTCATGCTAGCCTTCACTCCCTCTGGCCACCAGATGTCCCCTTTCTGCCTGGATTCAAAGGCAAGTGTTTATACTGAGCTAACTTCTGGTGCCAGAAACATGCATGGTACATGCTGAGGCAAGAGCCAAGGCAGGCTGCCTATTTTTCTCCATGTGCCCAGGCCTGTGGTTGATGGCACACACAGATGTGCTGGTGGCTGAGAAATCCCAGCTGAGTCTATGTAAGACTGGAACAAGGGGCCCTCTTGAACTCAGCCTGCACCCCTATTGTTTGATTGTGCTGAAGCAGGCCCCAGTGGAAGTTTCCTGGAATGTGTTGGCCCACCACATCAGTTTTAGATTTACCCTTATTTTTCCAATGATATCTGATAGGTTCCTGCCCAAATATGAATTGATGAATCATTATGGTGGTGGTCTAACATGGCTGAAGCCCCAAACAACAGCTTATCTTCCCAGTGACAACTTCCCCCTTCTTCCTTCAGCCCTGAATACAACTTTCTCTTACCTTTCCTGCATGTGTGAAGAAAGCCCTAATCAGCTCCTAACATGTCACTGAACCCACCTCTCAAGCTCTTCCACTAGTCAGAATCCTCATAAACCCCCAGCCTCCTTTGTCTACCTCAGAGGAACCCTGTGCTACATGCAGTCCTCTCCTCTCCATTTCTGGAGTAAAGGCCTTCTTCCCCACTTTGTTTCTTCTTCTCTGCTGAAAACCTAACATTCTGGTGCCATAACTCAGCACGGTGTGTGGCTCCTGAAGGGTCAGCCCCTGGTTCTGAGCTGCCTCTGCTTACGAGCTACCCTCCTTTCCTCTCCCTATTTGCCATTGCTATCTTGTAGCCAACACCAGTCTCCCTCATTTCCCACAGGTGAGCCACCTCTCAGTTTTGGGGTTTCCTGTCTCAGTTTCTCAGTCTCCCAGTCTCAGAAACGTGTGGACCCATGTCAGGAAATCCTTTGCATGTCCCTTGGACAGGGTTAACCACCCTCACACTTTCTGGGTTGGGCTACTGCCCTTAAGCCCAGAGGCAGGTTTATTGCCCTCCTGTTCTTTGGGACACCGCCCCACACGCTGTCAGTGACAGCTGACAAGAGCAGGTGTTGGGATTTTCTCCTAGTCACATTCTCAAAACGAGTGATGAACCTTTTTGAAAAAGAGTGACCCAGGCTATTTTGACCATAGCTCTTGGATCACCTCTAATTTGGTCACTATGGGAAATACTCCTTCCTGCCCTCAAGAAGACACACCACTAGGGTGCCTTGTCCACGATCTTGGCTCCCTTGGCCTCCAGGAGACCTTAAACCCAAACAATTAATCTTTTACTGCCAGATAGCTTGGCCACAACACAAACTCGAGAATGGCAGCCAGTGGCCTGAAGGGGGTAACTTTTGACCCTTTAATCCTCCAAGGCCTAGACAGTTTTTGTCATCACACTGGCAAATGGTCAGAAATCCCCTATATTCAGGTCTTCTTCACTTTGAGGACACATCCCTCCTTATACAGTCATGTAAGGGACCCAAATACTTTTTGCCCACACTACTCCACCTGATTCTCTTCCCTCTGCTCCAAAGATCCTTTAGATGACATACCCTTGGTCTTTGTTCCTCCTCCCCCAAATCCTCAAGCCCAAACTCAGTCTCCTCAATTAGAAGCTCCTGGGCTTCCAGCCTTATCCTTCTCCCTCGTCTCACCCACTACAGCCTCCCATTTGTCCTTTACTTCCTCACCCCTATCTCAAACTCCCCAATCTGCTCAACCAGAGGCACCTATCCTGTCTGACAGCCCCTCTTCTTTCTCCTTCTCTGCTCCCCTGTTGCCATTTTCCCCTCCTGCTCACCACACCTGACCTCTCATCTTTCAACCACCTGGTGAACCATGTGGTATTCAACCGCCATCTTGTGACCCCTTATCATGTGGTTCTCAGCATCTATCTTGTGGAGGGTCACATGGGGAGCAGTTGCCATCTTGTGGTCCCTTGTCATGTGATCAGCAGCAGACATTTTGTTGCTGGTCACATGAGGACCAGTCGCCATCTGTGATTCCTTACCATCCCTTACCATCAGCAGCCATCTCGTTGTGGGCCACATTGTACTCAGTCACCATTTTGTATTTCCCTGTCACATGGTGGAAGAGGGCCCTCTTGTGGTCAATCACCCTGTAACAGTCCAGAGATGTTGTTGGTTGCCAGATGGCCATCTACACCTCACACTCAACAGTCCTCTCAGCCTCAATTTTTGCTCCCCCTTTGGGAACAGGTTGGTCCTGAGGGACTAGTTCGTATCTGTCCATGTTCCTTTTTCCCTCCCTGACCTATCCCAAATTAACCGTGAATTAGGTTCCTTCTCCACTGACCCACAAACTTATATTAAGGAGTTTGAATTTATAACTAATTGCTATGATCTACATTTTAAGGATGTTTATGTGATTCTAAACAGCACTCTCACCTCACAACAAAAACTCGATTATGGCAAATGGTTTGAGAGGAAAGCAGTCATAGATCAAGCAAACACACTGAAAATGACCCTGGACCTGTTATGGTGCCAGATCATGACCCTAAGTGGAATTATCAGGATGGTGATGGACCTAACAAAGTACACAAGATGATTGAATGTATAATTGTGGGCCTTAACAAAATAGCTTGCAAGCACACTAATTACAACAAGCTTTTAGAACAGATCCAACAGGCTAATGAAAATCCTGCCATGATCCTCATACATCTTAAGGACTTCTTAACTAAGTTTACTAATGTAGATCCAGACTCTCCTGAAAGAACAATTGTTATTAATTCCTATTTTATTTCCCATTCTGCCCCTGATATTTGTGCAAAACTACAAAAGACTGAACTTGGGCCTTGAACTCCACAGGGAGACCTCCTTAATATGGCCTTTTCTGTCTTCAACAATAAAGATCAAAAACAGAAGGAGGAACAAGAAGCACAAAAAAAATAAACTTTGTAAATATAAAACTGATCTTTTAACAGTGGCACTTGGAGCTCCTAAGATAGGAAACCCAAAAAAGGCAGAGCCACCTGAGCCCTTCTCGGAGCTTGCTTCACATGCAGCAAAGAAGGATACTGGGTATGCCAGTGCCCCAACCCATGACCTCCACAGGAGCCCTGTCCCCTCTGCAACCTCAAGGGCCATTGAAGGTGCAACTGTCCTAACACCAGAAAGTGGGTAAGCCATCTGCTAATTCCTTGCACTCACAAGAGATTTTGTTGCCACCAGGTTGGTCTTTGGCTGATCTGCTTGGTCTCACTGCTGAACAGGATTGATGGGGTTGGGGTCCACGGCCCCCATTAAGGTATCCTTCATGGAGCCCTGAGTCTCAGTGGAAGAAGTAGGGCTACAAGGTGAGTTTTCAAGATCATAAAATTCCATAGGGTGATGTTTGTGCTGTATTTTTTAGATAACAAAATCTGAGTCCCCAAGTTCTACCCAAAGGAAATGGGGGTATGATGCATTGGGAATTGAAAAGGTTACCCATCTAATGTTATCAAACCAATTCACATACCAGGCTGAGATGCGTGGGTCTGCATCTTCTTAGATTTGTCCAAGTGGACCTATACCTATGGTCTTGCAACTTGGGGTGTCAAGATAAAAGAAATTGGCATTGATACATTTTCATTAACAGAGTGTGGGGGGTTGGGGAATGATCTTGAAAAGTCAGCTTGTAGCCCTACTTCCTATTATTGATGTCCCAGCCTGCCCTCCAACTGCCCTCCAACAAAAAATCACTCCCCCTATTCCCCAGCTCCTCTCACAGGCCTATGACACTCTCTTACAGTGCTCAAACCTCACAAAATGCTGGCTCTGTGTTCTATACCAACAAGATCTCTACATGGTAGCCGCTATACACTGGAATGCCTCTCATCATTCCCATGTAGCCTACCCACAATAGGCCCTCTATTGATACACAAATCTCAGCTATGGTCAACTAATCTTACTTGTCTAGTCTCTCAACTCAAAAACTCCTCTCTAACTGGAAGACCTTCTCCACTGCGCTCATTACATCACACACATACACACACAAAATACGGTTGTCTGCTCACCCAGGGGATGGTTCATAGGGTGCAAAACAGGAGCTTATACTTGGCTCCCTCCTCAATGCACAGGATCATGCATGCTAGTCCTCCTGGTCCTGGCCTTGATGATAAATTCTCATGATACCATAGAAATATCTGTCCTACCCCAGCCTTGAGATGCCCATCTCACTTGAAAAACAAGGGCCGTTCACATTCTGGTCCTTACTGGAGTGAGAATTCTCTCAGTCCTTGGAATTGATTTCTTGGCAAGGGAAATAGGTATGAGCATTTGTGCCAAAGAGCTTTATCACCAACTTTCCCTCAGAGTCCATCAAAGAATAGATGAGATAACACCCACTATGTACTCACTTCCAAAGCAAATTAATAACCTTGCAGCAGTTACCCTCCAAAACCATCACACTCTCAATGTCCTGACAAGCCAAAAAAGGGGAAATCTGTGCTATGCTGGGAGAATAATGCTGTTACTTTGTAAATGAATCGGAGATCATCATGGATAAGGTAAAGCACCTTCGCAATTGGCTAGAATGAAAGAGCAAAGAGCTAAGAAGTCAATATGCTTCCTCCATGCCATGGTCGTGGTGGAATGACACATTCAGATCATGAACCCCCTTCCAGTTTCCTGTTCTGGGTCCTTTAATCATGATAATGACCTGTTTACTCATAGCACCCTGTCTTTTAAAACTTTTTTCAAGGTTTCTTCAATCTCAGATGTGCACCTTCACTAACGAACTCTTCATCCTGACTGAGACACCTGGGACCAGCTTCTATATGGATTCTCTTTGTCCCCAAAATGATACCCCCATTTAGCTGGAAGCAGTCTGAGTCATTGCCCATTCTTAACAACCAAAAGATGGGAATGATAGGTTCCTGCCCCGGCAGAATTGCTGAATCATTATGGCGGCCTAACATTACTGAAGCCCCAAACAACAGCTTATCTTCCCAATGACCACTTCCCACTTCTTCTCCCCTCAGCTCTGAATACAACTTCCTCCTACCCTTCCTGCACATGTGAAGAAAGCCCCAATCAGCTCCTAACGTGTCACTGAGCCCACCTGTCAAGCTCCACCTGTAGCCAAAGTCTTCACAAACCCCCAGACTCTGTTGTCTAACTCAGAGGAGCCCTGTGCTGCATGCAGTCCTCTCCTCTCCGTGTCCAGAATAAAGGCCTTCTTCCCCGCTGTGTTTGTTTTTTCTCCTGCACTGAAAACCTAACAATATCCTCATCAACACTTTGCACAAAGACTGGAAGGTTTTGTTGAAGAGACAAATAATGGCTGTGCTGCCTTTACAGATGCAGCTGAGCAGTTTAGGGCAAAGTGTCCCTCATCCCCAGAACAGAAACAAACAGCCTTATTTTTTTCTTCCCTCTACTCTGTGAATGAATTACCTGAGTGACAGCTGCTGTGAAGGCAGCCCCTTGTACACATGAGGAGCTAATTACACCAATCTGAAGATGTATAATTTGTTTTGGATCATTGGGAGCTTGAACTTTAGTGACAGGGTAAACATACTGAAATTCCTCCATGGACTCTCCCGCCCATCTTGCTTCTTTCAGTACCAATTGAGAGAAAGAAAGGGCTGTTCTCCCTGAGAGGCCGAAGTTCCAATCTGTGATGCAGCAAAATCTCTCTGAGCTGGAAAGGCCAGGATTGCTGCCCACAGCTCAGTTAAAATCATCGCATGTTGTGAAATAGACTTTGTGGGGAAATACCTCTCTGGTGGGAAAAATTCCCTTTTGTTCCCCATCACTCCTCTCTTATTAGATTGAGCAAGGCTAGAGGGTTCAAGTTCTATCGGTGGTACCTTTGTTCCATGCTCCTTTTCCTGCTCAGGATTTGATTTTAAAGTAGTGTTCCAAGCCAGATACTTTGTCGTTACAAAATCCCTTCTCATCAAAATAAAAGCACAATAAATGGAGGAATCAAGCATGCAAAAAGCACTTCTAAATACATTTACATCTGTAGTTCTTGAAACTCTATTTGTCCCATTATTAATTACTAGTAATTCAATGTACTGTTCTCCTTTCTGCTTCTTTGAATTATAGATCGATCTCTCTATCTATCATCTATCTATCTATCTATCTATCTATCTATTTATCTATACTTTTTTAGGTCAGTAGATCTCCATGCCCCTATTTTTACACCTGATAATTGCCAATACAACACTCCTGTGCTGAATATTAACCTACCAATGCACTCCTCTCTTCTGTATTGCATGCAAAATTTTGTGAGAAGCATCCTGCCCACTAAGTCTCCTTACCAGTTGTGTCCCTATTCCTTCCCCAGTTTGCCATGAACTGGTGCAGCTCTCGGTGATCCTGGGGAAAACCAGTGAGGGGATTTAGAAAATAAAGACAAAAGACAAGAGCTGAGGTCAAGTAGATGCCTCTCTCTGGATGGGAAAAGAAGACTGAGCAATCACTGTAGGGACATTTATTTATATTTTGCAAAGTTAGTGTCATAAGACGCAGGTTGCCTAGTGACTAATGACTAAAATTGTACAGGTAGTATGTTTTTCTCAGGACCAAAGTACTTCGAGTTTTAGCAGCTCCTTTCACTCTATATCTCAGTTTTTTCAGCTGTAAATTGGGCACCAACAAAGGCATCTTACTGAAGAGTTATGAGGATTAAATAAACTGGTATATGTAAAGTACCTAGAATAATGCCAAGCTTATGGTAAAGGCTCACAAACTCTTAGCTATTATATTAGTTGAAAACTAATGTAATACTGTGGGCTAGTGATTTAAGGAAGAACATTACCCACTACTGATCTAAAATTTAAAAGAAAGTAATGTTAGTGTGTAATAGTTTCTATGACATGCAGTTAAATTTTAATTTTCTAGTGTTAATCTTTTCCTTGAGCTCTCCTGCTTTTCCACCTGTCTACAGACTCTCCTGACTTAAATGTACTGTCCTCCCTTCAAACATGACATGTTCCAAAATAAATGTGTTTCTCACATCCACACAGTTGTGATATCTTGACAAATCTTCTTTCAAGTTCTCTCTTGCTTCAATTTTCTATTTTCCTCGTCAACCCAGCATCCAGACTACTGAAAACTACTAAGTTGTTTCCCTGTCTTACTTTGATTCCCACCTATTTTCACAATAAGTTTGCCCCCAGAATTAATCTTATTATAACATAGATTTTTCATGTCTATACCCAAATCCACTGCTGATTCCCACTGTCTAAACTCAGTCTCAATTGTAAGTTCTCCATAATTTCATCCTGTATTCCATCAACAGTGACTTCTACCTTTTTTAAAAACAGTGTGCTACAGCTAAATTCATCTTCTTTGCATCACATCTTGATTATGTTGTATTCCCTCCTGTGGGTCCTTTTGTGTATCTTTTCCTTTCTCCTACAGTCACATCTTTTTACAAGTACATTGAACCAGGAATCACGACAGTACTGTTCTATTTCCATTCTACTGCCTCTTTGATATGTTACTTTACAAAAAGTTAGTAGTTAATTAGCAAGGGACTCTTCAACTCTACAATTAAAGTGTCAGATTACATGATACATAAGGTCACTACAGGTCTATCAGATAATCAGTGATTATAGCTTCTGGAGTTCATTTTAATCACCTTTTTAATTTTAAGGTACTGTTTTCTACATTGAGCACATTACTATGTTATATCAGTTTCATACTTGAGTTTCTTATCTGTTTTCTAGACTGTTCCTTGCCCAAAAAAGGATTGTGTTTTATGTAGGATTTATGTAGGATTTTCCAATCCTGTGTGGAAACACTAAATACATTAAGGATAATTATCAATTTAAGTAACTATACACTAATGACTAACATATACTTCAAGGGTAACTAATGACCTAAAGAAGCACATTTTAATAAGTAATAAATACTTTAATTATAATTGATGATTTACCAACCACATGCTAAAGACATAACATTGTAAAGTATAGACATGATTCTAGGCTGAATGAAAAATTGTGCTATGTAAGTAAATACAGGCTAGGTTACTTTTACTAACTCCAGCTAAATAGATGTTCTCATTTTTGACCTTTCTATATTAAAAAGGAATATACCATTGATCATTTTTAATGCATTTTTATAATAAAGTATTTATCTTCAATATCTATCATTGAAAATGGAAACATATTTTTAGGACTAAATAAGTATCACAAACTTGTATTTTTGATTATACTCATATAACTGAACCAGTTCCCCCAGTGGGAAAAACTAGTTAAACATAAATATCTGCTTGATGGCTTTGAAAAGCTCCTAAAATATTGAGGACCAGGGAAGCCAGACCTCAAAGAAGAAGAAAGCTCATAGAGTTGACTTCACTTTTCCAAACTTGTTTTCCTGTTTGTTATTTGCCATTTCTTGATGTATGACAAAAGACTGAGAAGGGAGGCACTGGGTAGCTTTTAAGAGGCAAAGTAGCAAAGCGGCCTTCAGTCAATTTGATAAGACTGTGAGACAAAGTGGAGTGTGGTGCTGCCGAGATGATCAGAACTTAAGAAGTCAAGATCACAGAAAGAAGAGGTGTGGAGAAGTAGCCTGACACCGGGCACTCATTTTCCCTTTTAGGCATTTTCTATTCAAGCTGCAAGAAATCATAGGCTAAAAAATAAAGCAGAAATCAGCTCAAGTACAGCAGAGTTTCCCCAGTCACAGGTACTGAAGAGAGAAGCTGAAGGCCAGTACTTGCTAAGTACTGGGTGCTCTATAGAAATCCAGGTGCTTCGTTAGGGTACCTGCAGGCTGTGTCCTGAAAATGGGTACAAAGAGAAGAGAAATGGTGCCTGTGATAGAGAGAATGAAGTATCCACCCCAAGATACCTGTGGCCTGACCCCACAACCTATGATTATGTTAGGTTACAGGCAGAGAGGAATTAAATTTGTTAATGTCTGACCTCAAGAGAGGGAGATTGTCCTGATTTAGTCTGGTGGGCTGAATTTAAGGGCAAATGTATTAAAAAGTGGAAGAGGAAGGCAGGGGCAGAGGGTTAGCGACTATAGAAGAATTGCCAGAGAAATGTAAAGGTGTGGACTTTGAAGATGAATGGAGACCACAAACCAAAGAATATAGGTGGCCTCTACAAGTTAGAAAAGGCAAAGGAAAGTATTCCTTCCTGGACCCTGCAGAAAGGAATGCAGCCTTGTCAACACCTTGATGACAGCTTGTGAGATCTGAATGAGACTTCAAGGCTACAGAGCAGTAAAATGGTAAACATATGTTGTTGCAAGCTTCTGAGTTGGTGGTAAGTCCTCATCTCAGCAGTGGAAAATTATGACTGAGCTTTACAAAGGTACTAAATATGCTTTATATCAACTCAGTTCCTGATGGAGTTGAGAAGATCTGCCTCTCTCCTACCTGCCAAAGACAGATTGACACCTCAGTGGGGAAGATGACGTCATATAGAACTTCTGGTACTCAGTCAGAAACAACTGATAGAGACAGACTGACATCTCCAGGCTGAGATATGTTTATCAGTAAATTATTCTAAACATTTGAAAAAGTACTAATACCAATACCGTACAAATCGCTTCAAGAGGATAGAGGAGGAAAAAATACACTTGCACTCATTTTATAAAGGCAGCATATCCTTGAGTCCAACAATTTCAAAAATACTATAGGAAAATTATAGGCTGATGTGACTTATAGGTACTAAAATTCTGAACAAACTAATTGTTAAAAAAGTTTAGCAACATGAAAAAGGAATAACATCACAGGTAAATGGTACTTATTTTAGGAAACAAGGTTGCTTTCACATCTAGAAGCCAATTAACATAGCTCACCACATTACTACAATGAAGGAGGAGATGATCATCTAAGTACATACAAAACTTTTTAATGAAAGTCAGCACCCATTAATGATTTTTTTATTTTGTTTTGATCTTAAGACTTTTATTTTTAAAGTATTTTTTATTAGTACATGTTTACAGAATATCATATTTATACTCATTGTGTGGAGTAATTACACGAACATGTTGTTACATGTACATAACATATCTTAATTTGTTTTTTCATTCCTTTCCCTTCTCTTCCTCTTCCCTCCACCTCTGAAATGCTTCTCATTTGACAAGGATCTATCTCCCTACTTCTTCTGATGTATCTTTTATTTTGATCTTCATTTATAATTTAGATTTCTCTTATAAGAAAAACCATTTAAGCATGTGCATCTGATTTATTACACTAAGCATTATGGTCTCAAG